GGGGTGGTGATCTGACCCTGGGATGGGAGCCCCCACGATGCTCAGTCAAGTCTGATTTGAGGCGTCTGTGAAGGGCTTGCATACTAGTAGGAGGTTCTTAAGGCTAGAGCTAGTGGAGGAAGGCCAGGTGTGCAGGTAGGTGTTTGTTCTCTGTCCTGTACCAGGGCCCTGATATGGGGAGGTGAGCTTGGTCTCATGGGCATTGGCTTGGTGCCCTGGAGGAGGGGCTCTAACCTTGTCCGTGTGCGAGTCAAAGTGTCTCCCTGGTAATGAGCTGGCAACAGACAACACCTGGCTGTAGGATCACCTGGTGATCCTGTGGATCACTGAGTTTGTCGAGGTAACTGAGGTGGCCTAAGGCCCAAGGCCACGCAGGGGCTTATGGCCTAGGGGCCTTTGCTGATAAGTGATGATCTGATCCTGACCCTGGGCCCTTGCCCGTCTTTCCTCTGTCCAGTGAAACACTTCATCAAAAGCGTGGAGCACAGCACCTGGCTCAGAGTAGGCTTCCGGTTCAACAAGCGGTATAGGGGGCCTGCCCTGTGCTGGTTGGACGGGTAATATAAAGATGAAAAAGACCTAGCCCTGACCCTCCGGATGTTTGGGGTGGCTGGTTGACCAACTGTGGACACCCCTGTTGATGGGTACTGTGCCGTGAGCCAAGATGGCAGCAAGGGCCGGGCGTGGGGGGCCAATGGAAGAGGGATGTCGGGGTGGGATGAGGGTGGTTAGACACAAAAGGAGGGGTGTGGGGGAGAAACACCCTGTGGCCATGGGGCAGGTCCGAACAGTTCAGGACTGTGAGAACGAAGTTGGGGGCGAGGAGGTAGGAGGGTGGATCCGTGGGAGACATCTCACCCCCTGGCTTCTGTGCATCAGAACCTCCCCCAAACGTCTAGCATCTGGAGGACCCATCGAAGGGCTCTATGTGGGCTGGCCCTGCATTCTGGTGACTCAGGAGGGTGCAAACAGCATGGGGTGATCTCAGTAACTAGTGGGTGAGGCCGCCAGGCCCAGATGTCAGGGAAGCAGCAGATAAAATCTTTCTGGAC